AAAAAAAAAAAAAAAAAAAAAAAAAAAAAAAAAAGAACACTGGAATTGTAGAGTGATGTGAAAGCAAATCACATGATTCTCAAGCCTTAGTTATCCAAAATTATGAAGGGATATTGTAAACAATAATAATAATATTAATAATTTTAATGTAGCTTTTAATAAAATTTTAAATAAGGGTGTTGAGGTGGTAATTGTTAGTCTTCCCCACTTGGAGGGTCGGTCCTCTTGTACCATACTTGCCATGAACCTCACCTTATACTCAAGGTCCAAAATTCGAGTTAATGGGAGGGTAAAAATCATAGAAAGTCAAAAAATGAGTTTTCACCTTATAAGGCAAGAGCACTATGGAAGTTCATGAGTCTACGGTGCATAGTCATGGTTCACCGGCGATCCGCCCCCCAAGGGGGAAGACTGACGGTTACGACCGTCAACAAAGGGTATAAAAAAATTCAATCGAAAACACAAAATTAACAACAAAGCGGGTAAAGTGTTAGTTAATGAGTGTATTCGTTTGAGATTTCAGAGTGATATTTTTAGTCTTTTTGACATTTTAGTCTTTTTAAAATTTTTACATTTAAAGAGGAATTTGTAAAATGGTGGTATTTACTGTGAGATTTTGATATTTATTTATTTATTGAGATACCAACAAATGTTAAAAAGTCCAAATCTATTAATATATAATAAGGATTAACATAATTCACTTTTAGAAATGTTTTCCCGCCAATTTGATTAATTATTGCCTAAATATAGTAAATTAATAAAAATCAATGTAATTAATGTACATAATCTTTTTAGTCAAATATTTACTGTTATTACCTTTATTAGTTGAATTTAAATTTAGAATGATTTAGTTTTATGGAAACCAATATGGGGGTATTATAGAATTCGAAATCCTTATGTTAAATATAGACTTGATTGAGCAATTATAGAGAATTAATCGTTAATCTTTATATCTATATTATATTTCCTGTATTGAGTAAAACATAATAAATTAATACTTATGTTATTTTTCAT